CCCCCGCCACGGGGAACCCACGCCCACCTGGCTCCGCCACCACGGCACCGCGCGGCCGACCCGGATGCGGAAGCGCCGCCCTGCAGGGGAACTTCCGGCCACAAGGAAGTCCTTCCGCCGGCCTTCCCCCAAGCTTGGAAACCGACGCCGGTCGGCTGCAGCCTCGCCCGCCCCGGAGGGAAAACCGGGTGGGGGGGGGGGGGGGGGGGGGGGGCTTTGCGGGCGGAGGCCCCCCAGTCCCAGCCCGGAAGCGCGACGGGCGGTGGGCGGCGAGGCGACGGGTGCCGGCCGAGGCCAAAGTTGCCCGCCATGCGCGGCTTCGCCCTGGAGCAGCAGAAGCGCCTGGCCGCCAGCCTGGTCCGCGTCCTCGCGTTGTACCGGCCGCTGACCGACGCCTACGTCATCGTAAGCCCCCCCCCCCCCCCCCCCCCCCCCCCCTCCCGGGGCCGGTGCCCCCCGCTGAGCCGCCCCCGCCTCTCTCCCCCCGCAGGAGTTCTTCAGCGACGACCTCTGGGGCCGCCTCCCCCGCGGCTGGCAGGCGGCACTGGGCGAGCTCTCCCCGCCGGAGGTGGCGGCGCTGCTGCTGCGGAGGGGCCGCCCGACCGAGCCCTGGCCGCTCTCGCTGCTGGCCTTCCGCGCCGCCGCCCACGCCCTGGCCTTCCCGCGCCGCCCCGCCGCCGCCGCCGCCTCCCGGGAGCCCCCGCTGCCGCCCCGCTTCCGCAGGCACCTGCGGCCCAAGAAGCAGCACGAGGTCCGGCGGCTGGCGCAGGTGCGGGGCGGGCGGGCGGTTCTTGGAGGGCGAGGGGCGGCTGGCCCAAAGCAGCCCCGGCCTGACCGCCTTCTGCCCGGCAGGTGGTGAAGCGGCTGAGCGAGCTGACCGGCTGCCGCCGGGTGGTGGATGTGGGCGCCGGGCAGGTGAGCCTCGGCGGCGGAGGGGGGGCAGCCCTGGGTCCCCTTGCCCTGGTTGGGCCTGGGCGCCTCCTCGACATCTGCCTCTCCTTCCGCAGGGCCACCTTGCCCGCTTCCTGGCCTTCGGGCTGCAGCTGTCGGTCACTGCCGTGGAGGGAGACGCCCGGCTGGTCGCCCAGGCCGCCAAGCATGACCGGGCGCTGGAGAAGGAGCTGGAGAAGGAGCAGGCCAGGCGGCAGGTGAAGAGTGGGGCGGAGGGAGCCGACGGCTGGGCTCCCTCCGGCTGCCCCTTTCCTGACTGGGCCCCTCCATCTTGCAGGCGCCAGGCAGCCCCCCTGTCCAGGGGCCGAGCCACGTGGTGGGCTGGGTCAGTCCCCACACTCGGTGGCCAGAGTTCCTGGGGCTGCTGCACTCGGCGGAGGCTGCTGGAGATGGGGGATCACGGGGAGCAGCCTCTGCCCGCCAACCCACCGAGCCTTGTGAGCCAAGAGAAACTGAGGCTGGAAAGGGAGGTGCAGACGGTGGCCCAGGATCCCTAGAGCAGAACCCTCCAGCCTGCCTGCAAGCCCAGCTCCCGCCGGGGGCGCTTTTGCTCACTGGCCTGCATGCCTGCGGGGACCTCAGCGCCACCCTCCTCCGGCTCTTTGTGGCCTGTCCCCACGTTGTGGGCATCACTTCGGTGGCCTGCTGCTACATGAAGCTGAGCACCGGAGAGGGCGCCCAGCCCGGCTACCCCCTGAGCGACTGGGTGGCGGCCCTGCCTGGCCACCAGCTCTCCTACAAGGCCCGGGAAGGGGCCTGCCACGCCATGGAGGACTACCTCCTGCGGCTGGAGCACGACAGTCCTTCGCTGAAGATGCACTGCTTCCGGGCCAGGCTGGAGACCATGATCCGGACCATCGACCCCACCAAGAAACGCCTCGGGGTGCAGGCCATTCCCAAAAGCCACGAGATGACTTTTGAGCAGTGAGTGAGCTGCGGGGGTGCCTCCCCCAGCTGGTGGGGTTGGGACGGCCCTCCCCCCCGATTCCCCCCTGCCCCCAAGGCCTCTGTCCGGAACAGCCAAGCGCAGCCTTTCCTTTCCGGGCAGGTATGCTCGCCAGGGACTGGAGCGTGTGGGGATGAGCCCCAGTGGGCCCCTGGAGCCTGCCTCTCCGGCTCAGCAGCGGCGGGTGGTGGTCTTCTTCAGCCTTGCTCTCCTGCTGGCCCCCTTGGTGGAGACCCTCATCCTCCTTGATCGGATGATTTACCTGCAGGAGCAAGGTAAGCTGCACCTGGGGTCTCGGCCAGAGAGGAGCTGGCATCCAGTGGCGTCCTACTGCCTCTGGGCAGGCAGCCCTTTGGAGCCCAGGGTTTCTTCTCTGAGTCCACCCCCTGCTTTTATTGAGGGTCGGGGGGGGGGGGGAGCTGTGCCAGGGCTCCTTGTTCCTGGCCCCTTTGACAAGGCTGCCCCAAGCCCCCTCCCTTCCTCTTGCTTCCCACAGGTTTCCCCTGCGAGCTCATCCCTCTCTTCAACCCAGCGCTCTCCGCCAGGAACCTGGTGCTGGTGGCTGCCAAGAAGGTGCCGCCCTCTGACCTCTGGGGCCTGGCTGCAGGAGACTGAGGAGGCTCTTCCCTGTGTCTGGTGCAGGAGAAGTGGAAGGATCTGGCCTTCTCGTCCCCCGGAGCGTGTCCCGCTGCACCCCAGCCGAACAGGCCCATGGACCCACCCTCTGCATTTGTAAACACCTGTACACTTGTTCTCTTGTTAAGGGATGTTTATTGTCAGTGGTCTCTTAGCCTTTGATAAAAGACACTGGTGTGAATGCAGAGCTCCTCCGGTTCCTGCGGTGTCTCCCTCTCTGGGAAGGGGAGGGGCACCTCAATACCAGTAAGACTTCCTGTGCCGCCGTCTCTCTACGATTCCCATCCGCTCCATAATTTCCTCCTGGAAGGTCTTCAAGGACGGGGTGTATGTCTTCTCCAGGGCGTCCTTGGTGGAGGTGTCCTTTGGGCCGTCTGAATTGGCAGGAGAGGAAAGTTTCAAGGCTCTAGTCCTTATGCTGTTTGAGAACAAGCTGGCCCCGAGGCAGGGCCTAGCAGAGATCGTCCAGGAAGGCCACTGGCTCCTGCTCCTCCTCCTCCTCCTCCCTCGCTCAGCAGAGGAGCAGCTTACCGACCCACAGCTCCGGGATGATGCCGTCCTCCCTCTGCTCGAGGGGTTTCGGGATGATCCGGCCTGTCCGGAGGGAGACCCGCACGCGTTCCCCCTGTTCCGTGTAGCGCCAAGCCACTTGGGTGGGCAGCCTGAGGTCACACAAAGTGGACACAACGGGGGAGGCCCGAGGCGGTTGCGTGGAGAGGAGGCAGAAGGTTTTGAAAGTATCATTGGAGTTGCCAGTCTGCCTTTCGAACCAGAGCCTACGGACGCTCAAGAGGGCCCCCATTCAGTCCCCCACCAAGAGAGTTTGAAAAAAACAATAGAAATCTTGAGGGTTTTTAAAAAGCAGCCATCTTGGCAAAGGGCCCTCTTGCTGCAGCCCATTTTCCACCAGGAATGATCTGACTTTGTTCTTTTTTTTGGGGGGGGGACCACTTCCCTGGAGAGCGACAGCCCCACAACTGGGTCCCCCAGAGGCCACGGGCAGCTCCAATGACTTTGGGTCCCCAAGGAGGGAAGTGGGAGGAGCCAATCTAGCCTTACCTGTCGGTGGGGTCCACCAGGCCCACCTGCTTCAAGGACAGCGGCTTCTCTCGGGCAATCATGGCCCTGCCTGCCTGGGTGTCCGCATAGTAGTAGCCCTGGGGCAGAGAAGCACAGTGGAGCCTGCAGCCCCCTGCCCCAGAAAAGCCCACCGGGTATCAAGGGCGGGGGTCTCCCCTCTTTTGCCCCGCAAGGAAGGGGTTCCCGTAGAGGCCCCCCCTTACCATGTTGAGGCGCTCCAGCAGCACCGACTGCTCCTCCTTGTCCACCTTGATGACCTGGCCTTGCTTGCCGGCCTCGCGGCCGCTCAGGATCTGCACCTGTGGGGAGGGGAGAGGAGGGCGGCGGGTGGGTCGGGGGATCCGGGCGGGCGGGGTGCGCCTGCCTTCCGACGTCGGGCTGCCAGCTCACCGTGTCTCCCCGGAAGACCTGCCAGTCCTCCTCCGGGATGGGTGGCAGCGCGGGCTTCTTCCTCCGGGGCGCCTTCCCCGCCCGGCCGAGCTCGGGGGCCCAAGGGGGCGTCAGCTTCTCCGCCATGGCCAGCAGCCGCGTCAGCCTCATGGTACCTACAAGGGGTGCAGGTTGGAGAAGGCGGCCCAGAGCCCCTGAGCCGCCCCGCCTGCTGCCACCGGCGCCCGCCGCTCCCGGCTTTGCACGAGGAGCCCGCCCGGCGTTCACCTGGTCCGCCGCGCTTCGCAGCTCCTTCCCGGCGGGCGGGGCGGGCACGTCGGCCGGGCCGCGCTGCATCCTGGGATTTGCAGTCCTAGCGGGCGGCGGCACCGGCCAGAGCTACGAAAGTGCAGAGCGGGCTACTCGGGAGGATCCCGCCGCCTCCAACTGCCCGCATCCCATTTGCAGAGCCCAGCCGGTCTGCCTCCTGGCTGCCAAGCGGGCGCAGGAGGGCTTGGATGGCAGCGGCTGGGCTGCACCAGTGGGTGGACTTCCATGCCCAGAATTCCCCGGTTGGCATTAACGTTGTGGTCTAAACCCTGCTCTCTCTCTCTCTCTCTTTTTTACTGCTGGCTGAGGCTGGGGTGTGCAGGGTGTCAAAATCCTCCCTGTGAATTCTCCCCTTATATTCTGAAATGTTTTGATTTCTGCGTCCTTTCTGCTTTATTACAGAGCACTGGAGGGAAGGCACTCCACAGGATAACAGGATAAAGAGTCCTCTTGAGCTACAGGTGCCTGACTGAGACTTGGGGCTGTCTCTGCAGTATTATTCGCCCGGCTTTTATTAAAGGAACACAACCCCCTCCCCCCTCATCACTGGAGGGGGGGGTAGCAGAGCAGAAATTTTGAGGAGCAGCACTCAAAAAAAGAAAACACCCAGGACGTGTGTGGTTAGAGTTTGCAGATCTGTTTATGCTGCTCTCCTGCTTGCTTTCAGAAGGCCCACCAACCCTCCGCCTGCTTTCCTCGCCTCTCAGGCACCCCCGTTAGACAAAGGGGGGGCAGGAGGGAGGTTGGGGTCGCAGGGGGCCCCTCCCCGGGTGCTTGGCTCCTCCTGCTCCTCTTCCGGGTCCAGCTCTTGAGGTGGGACTTGAATGCCCAGCATGGTCTCAACATGCCACAGCCGGGTCTTCACAGCCTGGAGGTGCTCCCTGAGGATCTTCATGGACTTCAGACAATCGTGGCAGCTGCGAAGATCCTGCCGGCCTGGAAGGAGAGAGCTAGCTGATGCCTGCAGAGGGGGTAAAATCTGGGCCTTTTCAGCTCAGACACTACCACCCCCTTGCCCCGAGGGAGGAGCAGGAGAAGGCCTCCTTCCAACGTACGCTCTTGGAAGTGAGAAGACTGGAACTCATGCGCAGCTTGTAGCTCCTGAATCAGGGCCATGATCTCCTCTGGAGGCATAGGAGCCGGGAGGGCCGGCTCTAGGGAAACATCCTTGGGGGCCGACGGGTCAGGAACTAAAGGGTCAGCCTGAGCCTTGCCTTCTGGATCCCCTGCTGAGGAGAGGGGAGGTAGAGCTAGCAACGGCACCTGCCTGGGCACCTGGGCCCCAGGGGGGTCACCACTGTGGGGCTTACCATTTGCAGCAGCTGGACTTGGTTGGGGTTGCAGCTGAAGAAGACAACCTGGGGAGCAGGAAAGGAAGGGCACAGGACTGGTCAGGGGAGGCTGTCCATCCCACCCCCCTCTGGTTCAAAACAGGTGTATCTCTCCAGAGAGCCCAAGACCACCTGGCTCTTCAAAGAAATCAACCTCTCCTCGGAGTCTTCACTCACCTTCCCCTACAAGGGGGTCTCTTCCAGCTTCATTCTGGCTTTCCCTTTTATCATCCTCGGAAAGGCTGCAAGTACCCAGCAAAGCGTGTATGTGATGCTGTGCCCCACAAGGACACCCATAGATCCATGGGTAGCCAATAACTCGGGAATATCCAGGGTATCCCAAACCCGGTTTCTCCTTCCAGCACCAAGATCCCCCTCATTTGCCCTGCCTTACTAAGACAAGGTTTTCTTTGAGTTCCAGTTACTTACGGTCTGTTCTTCTCGTAGACGGCTCTAGGAGAAGGAGGAGGAGGAGGGAAAGAGGAAGAAGTCAACTGCCCGGAAATTGAGCTCTCTGGTGCCCAGACACAAATACTGTCAACGTGAGCCAGCTCTCCTTCCAGTTAAAGGGGCCCCTCAGGAGATGGTCAAAGGCGGCCAGGCTGACCTCTGGGGCTGCCCTGCTCCCAAGGCCAGAGAGCCATGGCTGTGGAAAACTCACCCTGGCAATCTCTGGGCCTTAACTGCCCAATTTGGCCTTACCTGCGGAGATGTCGATTAAGAGAGAACCAGTTCTGCATCCTGATGCCAGCTGAGATGTCGCAGCCATTGGAATCCTCACCTGTCTCAAGGCAACCAAGACTGTGGGGTTCCACCTTAGTTGTGAGGTCATGCCCGGGGAAGAAGCACCACAGGTGCGATGATAATAATGTGATTACTTATACAAACCCCCACGTGGGAAGTTATAAACGCTCTTATAAAGAGGGGAAGTGTCTGTGTGTGCATGTGCATGGGGGGACTTCTATCATCCTTCCCAAATGGACTTGGCTCTCTGGGGCTTCCCCTCAAGAACCCACCAGAGGTCAATGGAATTCCTGCCTGGTCTTGGGAAGAGGAGAACCGGGGACGGAGCCCGGCGCAGGAGAGGCGCCACGGAGACGCCATGCCCAGCTGCAGGAGGCCAGGGGTCCCGAGCAGAGAGCCCCCTCCGGGAAGCGCAGCGCCTTCCCAGCTGCCGTTCGGCCGCTTCTCCGCAGTGCGGTGCTGCTGCCTCAGAAGAGGAGGGATTCTCCCGCCGCCGCCGCCGCCGTCCAGGGATGCCCTCCTGGGGCCCCGGGGCCGTGCCAGCGAGGCGTCGGCAGGAGGGCGGGATTTCGGGCACCGCAGGCGATGCTTAGGATGGGGGTCCCTGCTTAGGATGGGGACTTTAGCGCTTCTGCCCCTTTTGTTTTATTTCTTGTGTTTCCCCAGCTGGAAGGAACTTTCGTTTTCTGCCTCAATGGGGGCGGGGGCGGGGGGAGGCGGGGAACGGCCGTAAGTGCGAGGACCGGGCTGAAAGTGCCTTTTGCCCTCCGGCCACGCAGCGGCCGAAGAATTAAACGGGTAGAAGAACCTGAGGACGATAGAGAGGAGGGGGGTTAGAGCGGGCCGCCCTGACGGATCGGAAGTGACGTGTGCCTTCGCCCGCCCGTCGCCTCCCCCGGAAGTGTCGCGCGGTGAGTCAGGGAGTGTGGGCGGGCGGCCCGTCGACGAGGCGTTTCCGTTTCCGGTGGCTGGAGCTGGAGGTGGGCGAGGATCGGCGGCGGCGGCGGAGCGACGGGAGGCAGCAAGCAGAAGCGGCCGCGCAGCCGGGCAGGCCGCACCGACCCGCCGACGGAGCCCCAGCCGGCCGGCCGGCGGTCAGGTGAGGCTGGGCCGGGCGCCGCGGAGGGTCGGGCCTTCCCCGCCAGGCGCTGGTCGGCCGGGGGGCGGCGGGCGCTGCGGGCCCCATCCTCCCCTCCCGGGCGCTCGGGGCATCCCCGTCCTCCGCGCCCCGGGGAGGCAGGGAGGGGGCCGGCGTTGGCGGGGAGAGGGAGGGGGCCGCCTCTGCTCGGCCGGCCGGCGGGCGGGGGAGCTTCGCCCCGCGCGGGCTCTTCGGGCAGTCCGGGCGGGTGCGGGTCCCGGGGCTCCCAGACCGCCGGATCCGCGGCTCCCCGGCCGAGACCGCCGCCCCGTCGGGGCCCGCGGGCGGAGCGGGAGACGGTTCCTTCGAGGCCCCCGATCGGCCAGAGGGCAGGGAGGCGCCGCCGCCGGCGCTGCGCTGTCCCCGCTGACTTCACTGTTCAAACACGGGCGTGGCGGAGGGAAGGAAGCCGGCGGGAAGGTCGCCTCTCGCCCGGCCTCCCCCGGCGGCGGGGTCCGGCCCGGCTCCCCCCGCTTGTCATCCTGGTGGGCGGCGGGGAGTTGCTCCTCCGGGCTCCCAGACGAGGCCGCTGGGCAGAAGCGGAGCCTGCGAGGCTGGGACCGGGAATCGGGCTGGGGCCGGGCAAGGAGAGGCGTCCTTCTCCCCGCGAAGCGGATGCTTCTCCCTCCTCCCCGTCCTCCTCCCCGCTCGGAGCGGCCGGCGAGGAAATCCTCTCTCCCTCCCGCGGGCGTGTCAGCAGCCCCGGGAGCCGCTCGGGTGTTGATCTTCAGCGCCGTGTTTACAGTCGGCAGCCAAACTGGGTGGGGTGCGATGGCCGCTCTGATAAAAGGTGCAGCAGCAGCAGCAGGGAAAGTCCGGGTTGGCTTTGTGGGAAAGGAGAGGGTGCGCTGCCTGTGCCGGGAGGTAACCCTGCTTCCCCTCCCTTTTCCCCCCTGCCTCCGGCCCCCTTTGCAGCAGGAGCAGAGACATGAAGGCAGGCTGTCCCATTGTGGAGAAACCAGAAGGAGGAGGAGGTGAGGCGGCTTCTGGGCAGGCTGGTTGGGGGGCTCCGGTGTCCCCGGCAAAGATGGCAAGGCCTTGGCTGGGGGATCAGGAGATGGGAGCCTCTTTGCTCTGGCCCCGGAGAGTGTGGCAGCGGCTGTGCCCTCTGGAACCACGGGTGACTTCTACTCCCATGGTTTTTCAGCCAAGGCGGCCTCCTCTCCACCGCTCAGCGAGGGGCAGAGATTGTTGGGTCCCTTCTTTCTGACCCCTGGCTTTGCTTTGTGGTCTCCAGGCTACCATTTCCCTGACTGGGCGTACAAGACCGAATCCAGCCCAGGCTCCCGCCAGATCCAGCTCTGGCACTTCATCCTGGAGCTGCTGCAGAAGGAGGAGTTCCGGCACGTGATCGCCTGGCAGCAGGGCGAATATGGGGAGTTTGTCATCAAGGACCCGGACGAGGTGGCCCGGCTGTGGGGCCGGAGGAAATGCAAGCCCCAGATGAACTACGACAAGCTGAGCCGGGCTCTCAGGTGAGCGTGGGGCTGGTGGAGAAGGAGGGAGGTTGACCCGAGGCCCTGGAAGGCAGCCCTGCGGGCGTAGATGGATCTAAGTTTTTCCGTGATCCCTGACCCTGACCGGCCTGGGGAATGCCAGCCATCTTTAGCGGGAGACAACGGGAGAGCAGACTTGTCCTCCGGTGTCTTTGGGCACTGGGTTCTTGAGGCTGGCTGGAAAAGCCCACCTGCCTTTGTCAGAACTGAAGCTCATTGATGCACGCTCCCTGGCGCACCACGAGTCTGGCGCCAACATCCCTGCAGGCTCCCCATAGTTCTGGATCCTGATTGGGGATAGATTTCCTGGGCGGGTCTTTGTGGCCAAGGAGCCACCTGTGTGAAAAAAACTCCCGGGGTCTGAACTCCACTCCGGAAAGTTCCTGGCGTCCCCTGGCTGCCTTCTTGGGATCTTCCCCGTGCCCCACCCTCTATGTTGGCAGAGCAACAGACTTGACTCGGTGCCAAGCTGTGAGTGCTGGTGGCCTGGGTGGTACGTCCTTGGTTTTTCTTCCCAGGAAGCTGAGGCTTGGCTGAGCACCCTTGCCAGCCTTCTGCCCTCTGCCCCTTGCAAGGAGGCGCCACCTGCATTTGCGTAACGGAGGGGAAATCTAATGTACCTTGCAGGGTTCTTCCCTCCCTCCATCTCCCTCCCTCTCTGTGGGGGTGCGTGGGGGGCAAATACTTCCCTGGGTGTAAAGGCCGTATTGGCCGGACAGAAGGGCTGGGTCTGCTACTTGGCTGCCTCCCAAGGAGAGCAACGGACGGCTTTCCTCCCTCGGCAGGTACTACTACAACAAGCGGATCCTGCACAAGACGAAAGGCAAGAGGTTCACCTACAAGTTCAACTTCAACAAGCTGGTGATGCCCAGTTACCCCTTCCTTAACATCTGCCCCACCGGTGAGCAGTCTGCAGGGCCCGGTTTGGGGGAGGGGAGGCCTGATGGGTTGGTGAGAGGAATATCTTCATTTGCTCTGTTTGTGAGTGACCCTGGCTGGCAACAGTCCCACGCGCTCCCTGCAGAAGAGGCTGGCTGAGGAGGGCAAATGCCTGGCCTCTGGAAATTGGGTGGGGGGCAGCTGGACGCTGTTCTCCGTGACCCCAAACATTTCTGGCTGGGCACGTGGCTCCTCCCCCCAGCTGAAGAGGGGCTCTTCGCCGCCTTTGGCTTTCCCCCTTTCGCCGAGTGCCCCTTGATTCCTGGCGCTGCCAGACCCGCCTGCTCTCCTTGTCAAGCACTTCTCCGGCAACGGGTTCCACGGCAGGTCCTTCCCCCCTCTGGTTGTAAGGACACACTAGGGGCTCGGCCACTGGCGGAGCGAAGGTTGGACCCAGCAGCCGCTAGCCCTACAGTGCCGCTTTTCCTGGGCTTGGGGGGAAAAAGCAGCCACGAGAGACGCCCTCCCCGGTGTGGGAACTGGGCCGGGCAGAGGAGCTCCGGTCTCCTGGAGTGACGCTTTGGGCAGTGCTGGGTGTGGCTGGGAAGAGGGCGAGTCCAGCGGCTCTGCCCCAAGTGACCCCCAGAGCCTGAAAGGGCCCCAGCCACGGGTTAGGGTTCCCCTCCGCCTCCGTCCCTCGGCCTTCCGGTGGAGGGGGGCAAAGAGCAGCTCCTTTCTGTGGGGAGGGGGCCCGATGGAGTCCTTGCCTTCCTCTCTTCCTGCCTGCTGGTTCTTTGGATTAGCAGCTCTGCCTTTTGGGGGGTGCAAATGCTCCTTGCTGGAGGGGGTCCGTCCACGTGATCTGGCAGCCCTCAGCCGAAAGCCGGGCCTCGAGAGCAGAGCAGGGCTGCGCTCCCGTGGCCTGGACAAGTGCAGGAACAAGTCCGGGCAGTTGCTCACCCTGATGTCTCTCGGCCACGCCCTGCGCTCCCCGAGGCTCCCCGAGCGAGCAGAGCGGCTGGAGGCTGCCCTGGGATTACAGCCTGTTGTCTTTCCTCTTGCCCGGGGAGGTGGAGGCCCCGCCCTGCTCGGGAAGGAGGAGGGGAGGGGGCCACGGCTGAGTCTCCACCGCCAGCAGGGAGAGAGCTGCAAGGCCAGGAGGATCTTCTCTGCCCTCCTCTGCCAGAGAGAGGGCCGGCGTTGGGGGGGGGCGGCAGGCAGGAGTGGGTCCTTGGCCCCTGAGGTGCTCCGTCATTTGGGGGTGCGGGGGGGGGGGGCTGGCTAAAGAGGGGCCTTGGCTGCAGCTTCGTTCTTAAGGGAGGGGGAGGGGGCCAGACCCGAGCCTTTGAGAAAGACCCCTCCCCTTGGGAGCAGCAGAGGGAGGGAGGGAGGGGCTGGGCAGACCCTCTCCTGGGCCTCCGGGCTGCGTCCCCAGGCCTGGATCCCAGTCGCTGAGTTGCCGGGGCTCCCTGACCAGCCCCACTTCTTGGGTGGGTTTGTATTCCGGGGACC